AGAGACAGAGCTCAGTTAAAACTTTATGGATGAAAGATACTTTTGTTACAGATTAATAACTCACCACTGTAGTGAACAACGGTGTGGATTTGTGCATTTTATATTGAATAAATTTGGAGCTACTCTAAATTCCTTTCTCCTCCCCCAGAGAAGAAAGCAGGGGGTCAAAGTTGCTTTGTCTAAGTGCTTTCCCTGACCATAAAGCTGGCACCCTTTTGATTCCGAAACTGATAACGACTGACTGTTAAACTGACAAAGGGACACAAGCCATCCATTAGCATTTCCCTGAACAGCCTATCAAAACTGGCCTCCCACACATGTTTCCGTGGCAACTGACTTTGCTCTATGTTTATTATCCCATCAAAGGGATACTCCTTGTCTCACCTAAGTGTGACATAATCCAGGACAGCCGAACTTTCAATGTAAAAAAGACTGCAGTCTCCAAAGACTCAAAGCATTTAATTAAGTTAATTAAATCTTTAGTTACCTGATTACGTTTGCCTCTATTTGAGCAGTTATGTTAACTGTTGTTGCTATCTGTTGTTGATATTAGTGCTGAAAAGAAAGTTACTTGTGCAGTGTTTTTATTTTCAGCAAGACACTCCTTCATCTAATGTAATCCAAGCTTTCCTCATGTAACCTGAGCTCCCCCAAGTGGACGAAATAAGTATTACATGCCCTCGTCGTTAAATGTATAAATATCCTGACCAATAATGTGACAACTGTTTCCTGTTACCAAATGCTTAGAACAGTACAACCGTTCAACCATTGAGGCTCGATTGTGGAAAATATTTGATTATAATACGTGCAAATAGATTTCTTTTTAGACATTAAGTTTAGAAAGACAGTCCCTTGGGAAACCTGAGACGCCCCCTGGGGAACCACGCTCCAGGCAACAAAAGAACGACACGCGACCTCGCTTCGCCCTCTTCTCTTCGCTGTTGGCTCTTCCACTCTGCTCGGCCCTCTGGACGCTTCGGCACGTGTTTGGCGTGCCTCGCCAGGCAACGCCCTCAGACTCGGCCAGCGAAACAGGCCTTTTGTTTCGTCTGAAGCTACACACCTGAAGTGCCGAGACATCGATCTGCCTTCAGTTTGTTTTATTTTCTTTATTTATTTTGTTTGTTAAGGTTATCAGTCCGTTAAGTTACACTGGACTAATTCAGGAACGACCAAGTTCCATTTTAAGCCTTTTTCGTCGAGCCAACTTCACCGAGGTCAGACCAAGCCACGTGGTCTCGCCAGCTACAACGAAGGAAACCTGAAAACAGCCGAATTTCCAGACGGAGGAGGCGTTTTCAATCAGACACGGAGAACCCTGGAGAATCCCTAGCAAAAAGCCAGGATCGGCAGCTAGCGTGGGACCCGTGCAACAGGCCAAAAGCAGGCTGTCGACAAGCAGTAAGACTTAACACACGTTCTGTGATCAGATATTCCCCTCTTAACTCCTAAAATCACAGCATTAGTTTACTTTCAGTAGCTCTTCTATGCCGTATGAGTCAAATGCTTCCCACAATCGAACCTCCAGGCTCATTGTTCAGCAAATGTTTATGTTCCCTGTATCCAACCATCTTTTATAACATTAGTTAGAGAATAAATTCACTGTAATATAATCAAGAGCTGTGTGTGTTGCCTATTTATAGTTCCTGCCAAGAGAATTGAGCCTTTAGATATGAGACTGACTGACTGATTTAAGATAATTGAGCGATTATTAACTAACTGATCACTAGTAATAATTGTATAATTATTCAAAACTACCTAGAGGTCCGGAGACTCTAGGATTATAACAGCTCCAGTGGTGCCCTGAAATGAGGAATAAATTTTGATTTTATGAATATTAAAATTCATAATTTGGTATTAATTCTCACAAATTTATTAAATTGCATAACTATAAATTTTAGGTCTGCTATACCACTCTGAAACTCTTGCTCCAGCCCATGTTGGCAAGCTGGTCGGCAACGTGTACAGCTGAACTGAAGCCCTGTTCACAAGCTTCTCACTGACCCGCCGTTCTCTGCTTCTGATTGGCTACCAGTCCTCAACTAGGAACTGCGCATGTGCAACTCCCAACAAAGATCATTTAGAGACCAGATGTATCACTCACAGAAAATTAAACCATGTAAGCCTGTTCTGGTACAACCCCTAAATAGGATTTTGAACCAGAAAATGATCATAATACCAGCTCTTTAAACTGAAATTCATCCTCAGCAATGCTCCACTGAATAGTTTATTTCTTATTATTATTATCAGAAACTTTACATCCACAAGTTCAGGGGATCAAGCTGAATCTCCTGGTATAGGCCACACCCATTTCTACCAAAACTTTTTTTCGCTACATCGCGAAAACTGAAAAACCTATTTTGATTAACTCCTCCGAAGCGGCAAGTCCCACCGGCGCCAAACTTGGCACAGACCATCTCTGGACCAAGTGTCATTGTGTGGTGTATGGTTGAAGAGGTTTTAGGACCCAAATGCAGGACACAGATTCAGGCAGGTAAAGTTCAAGGGTTTAATTAAACCAAAGCGGGCACACTTACAGGCAGTAGCTGAGTCCAAAAACAAATCCAAATGAAGGCATGGGGAAACACAGATCGAAAGCGCAGGCAGGCAAGGTTACAGACAGATATCCAGGGCACAAACAACACCAGAGAGAGCATTACAAGCTACAATAATCCGACACAGACTGAACAGAACACAGGCATTAAGTCATAGGGCTAACGAGCAGGGAGGGAGTAAACAGGTTAAAGACATGAGGGACTAATCAGAAACAGGACCAAGCTAGCCACAAACATCAGACACTGACTACTACAAAATAAACCAGGAAGTAAAGCATGCAACAACAGACCAGGACTGAAGTAACACAATACCACAGAAAGCATGTATAACACACAAAACATAAACAAGAACACAGAGGCATGGAGTGAAACACAACATAACAGGGCATGGCTAGACTGAAAGTAGGATTAAACAGAACACTAGACAAATGCAAAATACAACAAGAACTAAGGCAAGCACAGATCATATCAAAATAAGACAGATTAGAGTAATAACAAACTAAACAAGAACACCAGACAGACTCACACAAGACAATAGACCGACAGGACTGAAACCCAAAGCACAACAGCCTAAATAACAGATACAGAACTGACTAGATAACAAACCGGCTGAGAACGAACTAAACAGACGGGCACACAGTGCGTCACCAAGATTATATATATATATATATATATATATATATATATATATATATTATATCTCTTAGCTTAGGGATGTCCGATTTACACCAAACTTGGGGACCTTATGTGGCACGCCTTCCTGAGGGGAATGACATTTTGTGTCAATCGGCCACTAGGTGGCACTGTTTATTCATATCAGATAATACTCCCATAGACATTCATTACATATCATACCATATACATTCATTTTATATCTCCATAACCACAACACCATTTAATATGAAACTCTGCTCATTTATTCACCACGGCCCACCGACACCATGTAAAACATTTCATGCAATTCCGACAATAGGTGGCGCTGTTAATGCAAGCTCAATGGTGCAGGAAAATCTCATTTGAACACAAAGGGTTTTCACATTACACCTACATAGAATCTCGTTAATCTCTCTGCGAGCCCGTGGTCTTGGCTACGTCGTCACCCCCGGGGCGCTCAGGTCGACTTGTGTGGCCACCACATGGCAAGGGGTGCAGCTGGCGTCAGGAGGCTTGGGCTGCTTACAACTGCTTGCAGTTCTAGTTATAATTGCTTTTGTATTACTGTGTATAGGAGTTACTTAATTTAAAATGTGACAAATAAACCTACCTACTACCTTCTACCCGCCGTATAACCACAAAGCTAATGCTAGCTGAGCTAGCGCTGCAGTATAAAGTTCCACAGAAAGCAAAATGAAAAAACTGACCTACCTACCACTCATGTTTTTTAGGCGGCTTCAAATGAGACACAGTTTCTCTTGACTGTCCTTCAATATTACAACATTAGTCCAACATCAGCTAGTGGAAGTAATCGGTACAATACTGAGCTTGAACCATTACCGGCCCTTGTTTAGAAAGCAGTCTGGAGCAAAATGCAAAAAGAGATCATGGTCAGATTTATTCATAGAGGCTTGTGCCAAAGTGTTTTACAGCAACATAATCACAAGACATACCTAGGTATTGAAATGCATGCATAAATACATAGTGCACACATACACACAGTGATACATACAGTACATGGCAGTATTCATCCACTCAGCTCTTCTGTCTTCTCAGGCTGGGGGCTGATGTAGCCATTTCTGCTGCCAACAACAGAGAAATTGGCATGCTTTGCCCACATCTTCCTGTTACTGGAGTCTAAGCAAGGAAATGGCAGACCACATTTTCAAGTGGCCTTTTGTCGTGGCCAGCCTAAGGCACACCTGTGCAGTCCCCATGCTGTCTGATCAGCATCTTGATATGCCACACCTGTGAGGTGGATGGATTATCTGGGCAAAGGAGAAGTGCTCACTGACACAGGTTTTGACAGATTGTGAACAATATTTGAGAGAAATAGGCCTTTTGTGTAGAGAAAGTCTTAGATCTTTGAGTTCTATTCATGATGAATGGGGGCAAAAACAAAAGTGCTGGGATGGTTAAACTTTGCAATTCTTCACCTGCGTGCCTGCATGTGTTGGAAGGTGGGATGGGGGTATTTGGGACTGTTCCAGAGCCTCGGGGCCCTGACAGCAAACGCTCTGTCCTCTTTAGTTTTCAGTCGGGACTCTGGAACAGACAGCAGACCTCTGTCCGAGGATCTCAAGGTACGTGCTGGTGCGTATGGGACTAAAAGGTCAGAAATATAACAAGGCGAGAGGCCATGAAGAGCTTTAAGAGCACACCCTAGAGGCAGCTGGCGCACCCCAAGGGGTGCACGCACCACACTTTGAGAATCGCTGTTTTAGATAAATGTGTCTGGTTGTATAGTTCTGTGTTTTGTACATTATTTTTCTCCATGTGTTACCAGGTCATTCTGTCAGGCATCGTAGGCCTCACAACATGGAGAAGGCCCATGCTGCTACTGGTAAGGCACATAGTTTTGGTTCCTTCTGTAAAGCGGTGATTGCATAGATTACAATTTTGTGTTGCTGTTAAATTGAAAATCAATAATAAAAGGAACAAAGTTGGATTTAAACTTTCATTTAATCAGGACTGTCCCACCATGTTCCACGGAGAGCCAGCAGTCTGAAGGTTTGAAGGACTCCATCCACTGATTACCTCTCCTTCAGGTAGAGGGGAAGAAGTCATCAGACACACTGTTGGCTGTCTGTGGCACATGATTGGACAAATTAGACCTAGATAAAGTAAAGACAAATAGGAAGAAGTGTTTAGAAATAGGTATTTCTTTCAAATACTCTATTAACCGAACAAATAAATGGTGCCCTGTGGCTCTCAGGAGGTAGAGCGGGTTGGCCGTTAATCGGAAGGTCGGCGGTTCAATCCCTGGCTCCCCCTGGTTGCGTGTCGAAGTGTCCTTGGGCAAGATACTGAACCCTGAATTGCCCCTGGCGGCTGTTCCGCCAGTGTATGAATGAGTGTGAATGTTAGTTTCTGTTTGAGCACTTAGGCTCAGTGTATGACTGGTGAATGCAGATGTAGTGTAAAAGCGCTTTGAGTGGTCGAAAAGACTAGAAAGGCGCTATACAAGTACGGAGCATTTACATTTACATTTGCCCCAGGGAGAACAGAGAAAAGGTTTTAACATGTACTGTATATACTGTATATAATATATAATCATTAAAAATGTTTTCCATACTGATACCTGTACAGATGACTTCGATACTGGTTCCTGAAGAACTTTGTTTTTAAAATTTTATAAAATATATTCTAACAAATTCCAGCTCCAACAGTGAGGCTGATCAACCAGATCAAATTACAAACACTGATATTAGATTACATGCTGCGTTGTTTTCCTGTCAATACCTTGTGTGTGTGAAGGCTATTAAATTCCAGTGCAGTAATGGGGGACTCATTCCACCAATGAATCACCACCCCCAGGACAGGGCCCGATGAGCTTCCCGATGAATTTGTTGACTCTCTTGGTGTGGACTTCCCCCCCAAAAATAGCACTCACTACCACAGACTGGTCTGACTGGTTTTCCTCAGATTGACCGGAGCCTTCGCAGAAATTAGAGTCAGTACTGGCCCTTCTTTTGCACAGCCTCTGTGTTCTTAGCCCAGCCCAGCTTCTAGTCCAGATGTACAGATGAACAGGCTGGGGATGTTCATCGCACTGGAGAAATCAATGAACATGACTCTCACAATGCTACCTGGCCTGTGCAGGTGAGCGTAGGCACTGTGAAGCAGTTCGATGATGGCGTCTTACACTCCTACCTTTGGATGGTAGCAACCTGAAAGTTGTCCAGTGATGGTTTACCCAGGGGCCACAGACAGATGTGACAGGATTAGCCTCTCGACACTGTAAACCCGAATAAGTAAGCAGTACTCAAAAAAATTAGGCAATCAGTTGCCACAAGTTTTTTGTGTTTATAAACTCAAAAGAGTTTGGGTTACATTTACTTTTTGATTACTACAGTATTAGATAAAATTACTGATTAACATAACTCAAATATTTTTAGTTAATGCAACAATTTGACAGAAATAAATAATTTCAAGTATAAAACCCCAGTGTTTCATGTTCTATGAACTCAATATTTATTAGTTTCTTGTTCAACATTTTTAAATTACTACTAACTCAAAAACATTGACTTAATAAAACTCAAATAATTTACCCCAGAACTAATATTTGTGGCAAGTACCTTAACTACATTGAGTACTACTAACTTTAAAAAACATGTCAAATTAGTTTTCTTTATTGAACAATCATTATCAAAACTTGTAAGATATCCTGTCATTTCTATATTTCACAGAAACAAACTAGTGAAACTTGTTTCCATCAGACTGAATTTATCAATCAATAATAAAATTGTTAGTTGTTGAAGAACTAATCAGAAGCAGTGCTGCTAAAATGAGAAATGAAAAACAAAATGTCACACTCTGATTATTTTAAAACCAACAGTGAGTTAAGAACCCTGATTCCTTAACACTCCTGTAAAAACTAACTTAACAGCAAAGTCCTTGAAGCTGAAAAAGCTTTCCTTTTACTATGTGCACTAAAATGACCATGCATAGTCTTGCTCCTGTTCACTGATTACTATTGTTTAAATTAAGTAGGTAATGCAATGGAACAATATAAAAAGAACACAGAGCAAAAACCTATGTTTTGAAAAGCCCTTGCAGTAAGCATGGACACACAGTTCAGAAGTGCTTTTAGGATTTTTTAGGAGTTTGTAACAGACTCATCCATCCCGAGCCACCTTTCAGTTAACCTCTTAACTCTAAAATTTATATAAAACGCCTATTCAAGGCATATCCAAAGTTAAATGAATGTAGTTCTTGAACCATTTGGAGTATATGCATGGTTTTGGGCTTCTCTGAAAGATAACCCTCTGGAATATCTAACCCAAAATGATTGTAAGTGCTACTGGAATTGATTAATAGAAGTTTAAACACACTAAAACTAATATATTTTTCATTTCTGCTTGAAAATGCTTGCTAACAAATGCATGCAGACAACTACAGCTGGGACTTATTAGCTGTAAAACTCTGTAGGGCCTACCTAGTCCTAGTTTAAATTTCATACCAATACCATGAAAAATGACTATTTGACACAGGTTTTTCTGAGTGTCTGTCTTGGCGTATTTTATCTAAAACAGCTCCGCCCCTTGGTGGCAGCTGCTGCATCGCTCCGTATTAGCCGGGAGCTCGACGCAGACGTGTTTTTTTGCTGGTAGAATATGAACTTCCTACTTAAAGCTGAATATCGTTATTTTCAGAATTTTATTGGCTACAGGAAGTGCCAGTCATCGGCACAATTGCTTGCAATTGGCTCAGCCTACCCACAAAATAACAGTGGCTGGCCCTTCCTTACTGATGGAATAATGTGTTTTGGACTAAATGTTTTTATTGGATTGGATCGTCTGGACCCTTGACAACGTAACGTTTTTGTTGGAATATAATCGATCGGTGGATTAAGTTACTGTGAGGCTTCATAGGTGAGTCGCGTCACTTTTGATTGTACCGGTTGGTCTGACAGAGGCGCTGATTGGACCCGCTGTAGTGATTGTATCTTGAAATGGTTTGCGTTGGTCGAATCACGAGGATTTTAGCTTTCAAACGGTGGATCATATGAGTATGAAGTTAACATAGCAGCTGAGGGATTCCCCAGAAGGTAAAACTAAACATTACCTCAGTCGAGCGGCGGCAGGGACCTGGCGGATTTTAATGTTAGAAATGCGGCAGCGGATGCTGTAACGTTATATGGATTGGATATGCCCAACACTTGCAGTTTGTGTTCATGTCTTTCTTTTTCTTAAGTTGAAAGGTGATATTTCACTGCTTACACGGGGTCTCTACTGGGGAGTCGCAAGCTGTGTCTCAATTCAGGGACCGCATCCTTCGAAGGCTGCATTTGAAGACGAATACGTCACAGTCGATGCGACTAGCTGTCCCATTTCGAAGGCTCCTTCAAATGCGGCCAACAAATGCAGCCTTCTTTTCGTCCGTTTGGAGGATCCAACAGCTGGATCCTTCGCAGCCCCAGGTATCCTGACATTCATTGCGCGCTGGTTGATTGTCCCAGCGTAAATAATGGCGTCGGCTGTGGCTGTGGAGTTGAGCCCCCCGGATTTTACCTATAAATGTAAGTATTGGATTTCAACTCACTTCAAAAGCCAACTACACAAATGTAAAAATAACGAGGCATAAAAGCACAATGTGTTGTCTTGTGGAAGAAGTTAACGTGAGTTAAGTGATTAACTGGCGAGCTAACGTTAAGTTAACGTTACCTGAGGTTACTGATGTGCTAATGTTAACGTTAAATGCAAATCGGGTGGGCAAGTTACAACCTAAAAAATAAAGCCTTTAACGTCTTCACTTTAAATCGAAGAGGTTCAGAGTCAGACCTGCGTCTTACCGAGATTGTCGCGATATTATACATCATTCATACTTAATATTATTTACATGAAAATAACGTTACCACATAATGTTAGACTACTTTAACGTTAGACGGGTTGTGAACCCTGCTTGGTTTTCACACCGTTAACGTTAGTAACGGTTACAAAAACCTTGGGATATAATACACGGTTAATGTAACTAGGATTTATGCTGCTTACTGTTTGGTGATGTGAAGCATAAAGCTTACATAGTTACTATGTCGTTTTGTTTTAGGGAGCAAGGAGCAAACTGCCCTCTTTATTAAATTGAGGGGGGCGAGCGACCACCTCTTCACCGGGGCAAAGTTTTCTGCCAACGTGGCTTGGAGGTAATTAAGTATCAATAGCCCTTTCGCAAGATCTGCATTTAATCATCATGTACTTAAAGTTACAGTTAAATGAGCCGCCATCCTGTACATAGCCTTTAACAATCAGACAACCAGTAAATGGGGCAGCCCTTTGTTGTGTCTTCACACAATTACCATGTACTGCAATTTCCCCACTATGGGACAAATAAAGGTTTTTCTTATCTTATCTTATCTTTATTTCTTTTGTTTCTCTATGAATTTTGGAGAAAATGGGCCTGTGGGGGAAGGTGACTTCCCTCCAAGCGAAAAAAAAAGTGGGACAATAAAAAAAAAAAATACAAAGTATGTATGTATGATTTGAAATTGATATATTCTGTATACATTTTTGTATAACTCGTTCACTGTGCAGTGATCTTACAACCCTGTTTTAATATAATACATAGATTTACCTTGTACGTTGTATATTCATTTCATTCATGTTAGTCATGCACGTTAATAAACACAGTTGCTGAAATTTGTTTTTCTGCTGTTGTTATTTACCATGATTGTGATGTGCCTTAGGATTGCAAGTGTCCAGGGTCAGGAGAGGGTGTAGGGGGGAAGCCCACTGCTGCAACTTGGCCCTGGTTTGTCCTCATGGATGAGGTGTTGGGACAGAGGCATTCCACCACCGCACCTGTCGTAATTGCCTCTATCCCTGAGGACACACCAGGGCCAAGTGC